AGAATTTTTTCTGGCTCCCTTGCGATTCTGTCTCACCACACAGGTTCGACTGTACTATCTATCTTGGCTAGCAGAGACTTTTTAAAAGTCACTTCAGCCCACATTTTTCTGGGTATCAGTTAAAGAAGTCAATATATTATAATATATATATATTGTGCAGAAGTGAAAATTCCCTAAACTTTTGACTGTGGGAAGAAAAAGGAAAAAAGCTAGAATTTTGTTTTGAGCGAAGCTGCAAATTGGAAAAGTGTGTCTGTGTGTGTAGGGGGGGAGGGGGGTTTGATAAAAATTTTTAAGGTATAGAAAGCTTTGGTTAGCTTTAGGAGTGTTAAGTCTGTTTGAGCTGAAGCAAGTTATTTATATGTTTTAATTAGCAAGAGCATGTTTTGCACTTAAACGTACAAAAAAGGAATGCATCAACATTTTTTGTGAGGGGCAGAATCTGTAAGCAAATCCGCAGCCACTATTTATCATGTATATTATAACTTATTACTGTCAATAAAGGGATATGAATTACTGCAGGGGACTCTCCTGGTTGAGAGGTTGCAGTGTTCGCCTTTCATTCAATAGGTCCCGAGTTCAAATCCGGATAGCGACTGGAAAATTTTCTTCTTTTTTGCTCTGTAACAATCGTTCTGTAGTCTGCTCTCATCTCCACTTTCTGACCCTACCCATGACCTCCTTTGCCCCCTCCTCTGGGCTCTTGACTCTTTATGTAACCTTTCTACTGCTACTCCAATTCCTTGGCTCCTTTAATTATTGCTGTCTTTCAGCTACACCCTGGTTTTATTGTAGGTAAGATCTAACACCAAGCCTTCTCGGATAAGGACAAAAAGAAAAATCTCGAAGGTCTTGTGTGCAAGTTTCGGCTGCCACCTGGGTAAAATTCAAAGTTTCTTACGAAACTGACCACGCACTCACATGACCTTTTGCAGTTGCGAGCGCCTTAAAACACTTACAAAAAAAAAAAAGAATTACTGCCGTTTCAAAGTGATTGCTCTGTGCAATGAGAAAGAAAGTTTGAAAATCGTAAAACAGAAGCTAGCATTAAGTCAAACCATGACGTACCTTGCTCATAGCTCTTAACTTTCTTTTACTCAGTTACCAAGTTTTTTTTTTTTTTTCTGCCAACAACGATGTTCCAATTATACAGTGTTGCTCATAAAGCGGAGGGACATTATTTGGTTTGCAATAGTTGAACACAAACCTCCACTTCTTGTTTTTTTAAAATGTTAGAACGATGGAACGATGAAAAAAACAACGTATCTAACATGTAGAAAAGAGGTGTTTTCTTCACAGCTTTAGACTAGATACTAATTTTGTTGCAGAAACAATTATTATGTGAAATTGGAAAAAGCACAGTATTTGTGTATAATGAAAGAAAGGAGAGAAAGAGTGCTGTATAAATAGCATCAAGTTTGGGCCAGTTTATTTGTATGACCATGCACTATTGTAAAATGTTTTGGCCAGTATTTTGTACAATTATGAGCTATTTTAATATAAATGTCTATATGAAATGACAATATTAAATAGTTGTTCTAGGTCTTGATGCCTTTATAAAAGTTTCAAATTTAAAATGTTTCACAGTCTGACAATACACTCAACATGCCAGTGACGAGGATCTCAACTTCTGAGATATTTGGATAGGTTAACAGTTTTATATTTTGACTTTGAGGTCAGGAGTGATTTTTCTTGGGGACATTTTTCAGTGGGACCAAAATATTGAGAAACCACACCCGAACAGATTTTTTAAAAATCTATTTTTTGAAAATCCTATATTTGTAATCTTCGATGATTGCCAGGGTAAAAGAACAAAATGGGTTACCATCACTAGGCATCTTTGTATACGTATTTGCACGAATTTTCAAGATTAAATAGGAAATATAAGAAGTTTTTTGTTTGCATATCTCTCTCACTGCTACAGCTGGACACAGGAGAGGGAATTGCAATGTGAGTCTGCACTATGGGGTGGGCCTTCGGAGAAAATTTATGTTCTGCCAGAATTATTTCTTGTCTGACTTGGGGAGAAACATGAGCATTGCTATTAAGAAGGCCTATATTGTATAGTTAGCTTGTTCATGCTTCAATTCCTAGATATGGAATTTCAAAGGCTTTTGATGTAAGTTTGTGTTCATTTTAGAAAGTTTGATGCTATTGTTTGCTCAAAATGTGATCTTGAAGATAAGAGGATGCAAATGAGATCTCTAAAGAAAAGAATTTCACTCTCTAAAGTGTGAGCTTGTATGGAAAACTTTCGAGCTACTGCAAGATAAGAGTTCTCACTTTTTTACTGTGATAAAAGACCACAAAGCTCAACATGGCAACGCTATCATGCCAAGCAAAAAGCAGATGATATTGAAACAAAACATTTTTCGTGAAAGCCTGGCCTTGTATCTGCAACATTATTTCAAAGTTTGTTCATGATTAAAAATTTTGACTTTCTTTTTCTAACCCCATTTTCCGCCCCCTCCCCCC